CAGGCCAAAACCAAGAGCGATAAACGTCATTGGCTCTTTCGAAGAGCCAACTGTCAAAATTTTGAAAGTCAGTGCGAGACCAAGCTCGGACTAATTGCAGTCGACGTGGCCGACTCAGACTTAGATGTTGCTTTCGAGAAGTTCAATGACGTCCTCCTAGAGGTCGCCCGTGTGACGATCCCGAGAACGACCGGGAAGAGACCGTACAAGCCTTTTTGGAACAAAGAGCTTGCAAAACTCGTGAAACTAAGAGCAAAAGCTTGGAAAGAAGCCGCGAGGAAGAAAACACCTGCTGCTCGTGCTGGTTACAATAAACTTACGGCTGAAGTCCGGGCAGCTGTTCAGAAGGCGAAACAATCGAATTTGGTAAGTGCGTGTGAAAAACTTGATCTCCAGGACGGTCGGAAGGTGTGGAACCTGCTCGGGAGTCTCTCTGGTGCGGGGAAATCAAAAAACCCGCAGCCATTACTATCAGGCAAAGGCATCGAGACGAGCGACGAAGAAAGGGCACATGAGCTCAACGTTCACTTAGCCGAGGTGATCAGAAAGGCAAAAGTGACCCATGAGCATGAGGAAATCCAAAGTCTGAGGAAAAGGGGAGCTCGTATCCAGCGTACTGGACCTCACCCCGAGATTTTCACAGTTCCTTTCACAATGGAAGAATTGCAAAGCGCGCTTGATAAGTGCTTGGCGGCGAAAGCACCAGGACCAGATAAAGTTCACAATGAAATGTTAACCCACCTGGGTAAACTGGGGAGAAAACTTCTGCTGGCTCTCATTAACCGAACTTGGACTACAGGTATCTTACCGAAAGTGTGGAAGCAGGCCATAGTAATTCCCATAACAAAGGAAGGAAAACCAGGCCATTTACCGAGTAGCTTTAGGCCGATATCGTTAACGTCTTGTGTGGGTAAAGTGGCCGAGCGAATGGTAAATGGGACGACTCTACTGGTTCTTGGAGAGTACTAAATACCTACCACCGACGCAAGGTGGCTTCCGAAAGGGTCGCCAGCCCATGGACCAGGTGATCCGTCTTGTTCAGTCCATGACCGATGAGCTCCAGAAGAAAAATCATTCGGTGGCAGTTTTCTTTGACTTCAAGCAAGCGTATGACCGGGTGTGGCGCGCAGGCCTCATGTACAAATTCCAGAAGCTGGAACTCACTGGAAAAATATCCGAGTGGGTGACGGACTTTCTTAAGAACAGGACTATTGCCACGCGGGTTTGCAACAGTCTGTCGAAGCGGCTTGCTCTGGAGGACGGACTCCCCCAGGGGTCCGCTCTCAGCTTCACTTTGTTCTTAGCGTACTTTTACGACTTGCAAGAGGGCTTAGTGTCCGATAACGCCATGTTCGCCGATGATTTAGTAATCTGGACCTCTGGTAAGGACATCAACCAACTGCAGAACCGGCTGCAAAATGACCTGCATAGCATCGAAGACTATGCGAGGCGGTGGAAAATGGTTGTGAACACTGAGAAGACGGTTTACTCTAAGTTCACCAATGGAAGGAAGGTGCTTAAGTCCGATGTAAAACTCTCCATAAACGGGAAAGATTTGGTATGGGACAGGACTCCAGTCTACCTTGGGGTAAAGTTAGATCAGAAACTCCGACTCCACCACCATGTGCACGAATATGTGCCAAAGCTTAACAAAAACTGGGCATGGTTAAAAAGCTGGCTTGGACTAGATGGGGCGCAGACGCAAGACTGTTAAGGTCGCTCTACCTTAGCGGTGTGAGGGGAACAATGGACTAAAGTTTGCCAGTCCAGACCTTCGCGAGCCGCACAACTCTAGAGGAACTGGACCGCATTCAAAACCATGCTCTAAGGTTTGTATGCGGGGCAATACGAACCACACCCACGGCGGCAGTGAAGATCATGGCCAATGTCGAACCGCTCGAGGTCAGGCGGGAGAAGGCAGTCCTTACGACGGTAGAACGCTACCGACGCATGGGAGGGAAGAACACTGTTTCCAATTACAGAACAAATGGGTTAAAAAAGTTCCTATTGAAGAGACCATCCTTCATGGACACGGTGCACAGTCTTGAAGAAGACGTTATTTTACCCGGAAACAGGGAAAAAGTGTAAATGGGCGATGGCCACATAAACGCCTCTCCCGGCCAGACATTCGACTGGACATATTTGACACCAATGCCAGAAAAAAACAATCCTAAAATAGAACCATCAGAGGTTGTGCGACGCATGATTGAAGCCTACCCAAAAAGCCTGGTTAAAGTCTTAACAGACGGCTCATGCTTCGCGGAGGAAAAGCGTAGTGGCTACGGCGTCCTCATCCAGTATCCCGCAGAGATGGCTCCACCCGAGGAGCTATCAGGCCCATGCGGAAGTAATGCAACGAGCCTCAACGCGGAAATCAAGGCGATACTGGTAGCTCTTAAGAGGATTCGCCAACGCCTAGTGAAACGAAAGTCCTTCCCGGACGTTGTGATCTTCTCTGACTCTCGTTCTGCTCTCGAACTCATGGGGGGGGGGGAGATCGGTGAGACCTAAAATGGTTATAGCTGCTCTGAAAACAGTGAGCTCCACCCAAGCACATGGCCCTAAGGTGCTCTTTCAGTTTATCGCTTCGCACTTAGAGGCGTCGCTTCTTGACAGGGCGGATTTCTTTGCCCAACAGGGCGCGGCCCTACCTCAACCAGACAGACCCATGACTCAGGTGGGAGTCACTGCCTTGGTCAAAGACCATTTCAAGGGAAAATTGTTCAGAAGGTGGGACACGGCGACCACTGGACGACAGCTTTACCAGAGAATGCAGCGAACGAGTAAAAGCGACCCATGATGGTAGCTTAGTCGTGGAGAACAAAGCCTTATTTCACAGATGAGAAATGGGCACTGCGCCACGCGTAGTTATTTCCACCGACTCGACAACAGATGGGAACCTTTGTGCCGACAGTGTGGACTAGAGGAGGAGACATTAGCCCACTTGGTGATCACGTGTCCGAATTGTGGGATGGGGGCAAACGGTAGGAATCCGGAGGCCTGCCTAAATGATCTCCTTTACGGTAGCGCCCAGCAGATAGGCGCGCCGTGGATATCGTGTCCAGGGTCCTAAGAAATGGAATCTCGACCCTTTTGAGTATTAAACTTTATCATTGGGTTAAAGAGGGGATTAATATCTGATAAAAGTAGTAGATATAATTCATAAATATATCGCTAAAAATTCTCAAAACTGGAATGTTAAGACTGAGTCAGCTTCTAAACACTGACGCGTAAAATCTAAGTTTAAAAAAAAAAATATAAGAATCTGCTTTATTATAAAAATGCAATATTTGTCTTCGTCAATTGAAATTTTTGCTTATATTCAACAAGTTATAATGTCCCATAAACCTTGGAAGTGGTCAAGGTGTAATGTGAGCTATACAAGTAAACTGAGGAGTCAACTTTTTATCATTTGTCAGATCCAACATGTTTTTAGAGAGTCCGCAAAAATTAAGTTTAATTTTTTGATGAAATGATTGTCTCTCAAAGAATGGACGGGAATAACTCTTATGACTTGAATAATTAACCAAAAACAACGCATTTAAATAGCATTTTATAGTTCAGTTTTAATTAGTTTTGATCTCTAATTTTATTTGGCACACATATTATATGAGAAAAGTAGTGTATACTTCATCGTGTATTTTTTTGATTACGGTTTACTAATCTCTACCCACTAATTTCAAGGTTAAAGGTAAAGAAACACAAACACGATGAAACACAATATATGTCAACAATAGAGTTTACTGTAGTATACACCAATCAAAACACGGTACTTAAATTACAACAGAATATCTAAAACTATCAAAACATATAATATTTGACATTATCTGACATATTTAAATTGTTAAGAAATAAAATATATTTTTAAAAAAACAAAACAACAACAACGTTACATTGAACATGTGTTTGTTAAAAATACAAAAGTTCATGTATTAGACTATTCAAGGTTGACCCAGTTATTGGCAATCATACATGTCGTTCACAAAAATGAATCAATTACGACTAATAATCTGAATCGAATTTTCGCAGTTGCGTCACTCTAAAGTACAGACAACTCAGTTTATTTTTTAAATTCATAGGCAACAAGTGTATATTCGTCATTTTAAAATAAATACATATACATTCATAGAGGTGAATAATTAAAGGAATATTACAAATAAAAGGTCTATTAACCTCATGCCCATTCTCATACACTAAATTAGTTTAGAATGCTGCTGTGCCGTTTAAATAACATTCGTAGAAATTTTAAAAAAATTAGAAAAAAAAAAAAAAAACTTTTGTTGCAACTGGAGCATTATTAATTAAATATAATGTAAAACATATATTGCCGCAATTGTCTTGGCACCCTAAACACATGTTTGTATTGTCAAACCCTCTTTAAGATAAAAAAAAAATATAATAATGAAATAAACATTTTTGTCTTTTAATAAAGCAATAAGTTTTTTAATGAAAAATAAATTGAGATAAAATGGTTTCAACTAAATTTACTTTAAACCCTACCCAAGCCTTCTGTTGATTATTGTTTTGTTTAATATATTTTTTTTTCGATCAAACAAATACGTTTATTTAAATACCAACGCATCGCCTTTTCTTTATCATTGCATTGTTTTGTTGTTGGTATTTTTTATTGAATTATTTCAGTACACCTGTAAGGTATTACAATTTTAATTTTATGCAACTCTAACTTTCTTGAAAGCAGAGGGTATCTAAAATATAATATCGGGTAAACCCTCTGTCTTTTTAGTTGGAGAAATAGCACAAGCAAGACTATATGCTGTGAGTTGTTTTGGGTCTTTTTTGTTTTTGTCTTTTTAATCAATTTAATTAGAAGTTGAAATAGTAAGAGATTGTATTTTAACCATTTGTATAAATCTTATATACGATGTTTAAACAATCCCGTCAACCTTGAAATACCTTTTTTAAATATGAGGTTGACAGTTTCTTTCATGACGTGTTAACCTTTTCTGTACCCAACTAATTAACGCTGCTTTCAGTTTCAGATGCCTCCCCCAGTATGGCAAAGAGAAGCTGTTACAGCACAAATGAAATATTTAAAACGACAGAAAGACACATTCTCTTCACTAATGGATCAAATTAATAGTGTAAACATTATTTTGCTTTATAATAAAAAAGTATGTCTGCACTAACAATATAAATATTGTATTAGGTCGCTGCCAATTCCCATTTGGCCATTGGGTATTGTAAAATAGCCAGTGACAATTAATTATTCATTTAATACATGACGTTGATTATAATAAATTTCGTTTCATTTTTATGTTTCACAGTTAATTTTTTCATTAGCTTATAATTAAAATTCAAAATTATTAATTTAAATGGAATATTTAGATTCAAAACGATAAAAAATTATTATGTCTCATACATTATTTTATTAATATTATCAACATTTGTACCACTTGATAAAAAATGAGATAGTCCTCAAATTCTATAAACATTGTTTAAAAAAAAAAGTCTTATTAAACTTGAATTGAAGGTACCCATTCTTAAAAATAAAATATATTATAAAATATTTGCTACACTAATAACACTATAGCATAATAATAACAAGTAGTTAGATACACAAATGTTACATATTAGGATGTATATATAGGCTACACTTTAATTTAATACAATTTCTAAATTTTTCTTGTTTGCTTAAACAAAATAGAAATTATTGAGTTCCAATACTCATTTAATTTTAAAGGTAAAAGATTTGTGAACTCTCTTCCCCTTTCCCCTTTTGTATGACAACTTTTTTTAAAAAAGCTACAGAAAGATAATACAATGTAATATGAACTTAAACATAAATAATAGTATATATAATAATAATTATATATTAAATTATGATATTATTCTCATTTCATTGAAAGACATGTTTTGTTTAAGTAATTTTTTTTAAAAACATTCTAGGTGTTAATTGAGGTGGATGACTGGATTAAAGGAGAAGGAAACTGTGGAACAAGCTACTTGGAGATGTGTCAGATGGTTGAAACAGTTTTTAATGATATTTCAACAAAATGTTTGGACATTTCAAGTACAATTATTTCTACATTTATGAGTAATTGTCATTTGATATAAACAATTTCAAAATAAAAATCGCCAACTCCATCATTTAAAAAAAATGGAAAATAATTAAATTCTATTGCCATTAGTTTTTATTAATGTTACTTTTAAAATAAATATAAAAATACATATAGGGGCCTAAAGTTATTTGATTTATAACAGTAGGTTGAATTTGTAAACTTATAATAAATGTCTATGTAGATTGATAAAAAATATTATTTATAAAACATATTAATAAATTATCTGTAGCAAATAGAATTAGAATTAAATATTTCAATTTAATTTGCATAAACTGATTGAATCCATAGAGAATCATACTGAAGAAGTAGCACCAAACAAGAATGTTTTAGAGAAGATGTGTGGCAATTTTCAAGTCTTAACAGTGAATGAGGAATCTGTAACAAAAAAAGCTAATATCCTTAACAATGAGGATGAAAACAAATTGTCAGGTATATCCGTGTATACAGCAAGTTTCAATGTGTCAATAATTAAAATATTTTAGTTCATGAAATATAAATGCGGATAATCATCATTATAAAAGTATAAATTAATTTTTTTTTTTTTTTTACTATAACAATATATACATACATTTCTATCAACAAGACCATTAACTATTTATGATATTCATTCTTTAGAAAATAACATGAAACAGAGCACACAGAAAAAACTGGATTTAATGGAGCAAGCCATTGTATCACTAAAAAATGAAATGCACATTTTGTCAGACCAACAACAAGAAGCAGTCAAAGCTATGCAGGACAATACAACAAAAGTTATGACTCGCTGCGAAGCAATAGATACAATTTCCTTATTGCATGCCAAAGATAAAGAAGCATTAGAAAATCAACAGCAAATATATGAGCAAGATATTAAAAGCCTCAAAAATGAAAACAGTTTAAAAATAGATTCTTTTTTGAGTGAATTGTTAGCTGCCAGTGATTTTATGTCAGCTATGCAAAGTCAGATAGATTTTCTTGCTAAAAAAGTTGATGACGCCTTTTCAGAAATTAAATCTAGTCTAACTTTACCATTAAAAGATGAATTGAAAATAATTTTAGCTCAATTAGAAGAATCAAAATCCTCTTCTCTAAAACAAAATAATCAGACGAATGTCAATTATGAAAATATGATACAGAGAATTTCAAGTATTGAAGAAAATGTAAGTTTAGAAACTTAATTTTTACAATGTGGAATTAATCTAAAAGATTCATTTAAAATAGTTCAAGGAAGATTGATTAAAAGAGAAAATTTACTAAACAGAAAAATCCACAGATTTAAAAAAGGAAATATTCTGCAAACATTCTATAAGAAAATTAATTTTATTTTCAACTAAAATATTATTTTTTAGAGTATTTTAGATCTCTAGGTATATAGAAATTAGAGCAGGCCTATATATTTTTTTTTCCATTTCTTTGTCTTTAGTATGCAATGGTTTGCCAGTTACTCTCCAGAAGATTGACATCCCTTGAGCATCTCAGAGACACATTTAATCAGAATTTATTAGCACGTGAGGAAAAAGAAGAGCAAGTAAAAAAAAATATTTTTGTTATTTTTATTATTAAATTCTGGGCCCATCAAGCTTTTGTTAGTGATCAGAATCTTGTCATATTTTGGGGAAAAGGACTTCTCATCAAACAGGCCCACCATTCTCTTGTTACAAAAAGAAGATGTATTTGTAACATTGAGTTACTTAAAAGAATATTTTTATTCGATCTCTTTACACTTTTCTATTTATATTTTTGAGACAAGTTAAAGGGAGCAATATGTTAGTCATATTAAAAATATTTTACCTGTTACTGCATTTTTTAGGACATGTATTTGTTCCAAATGATGAAATAAATGTATTTTGTAATGATTTCATTGATTTGTATTTTTAGAATTCGAATTAATCTTTGATAAATTAGTTAATTTTTTGCTTTAGCCTGTGTACCTAGAATCCCTGCTTGCCTTTGAAATTTCATCTTTTTTTGTAACAATAAAAATCATATAAATATTTTCTTTTTTGTTTTCAGTGGGAAGAGTTTAGCTATCAAGTTTCAGAAATTAAAGAAGAGCTTTCATATCTAAGTAAGATAATTTGAAAGATATTTTATCCTAATTAAAAATGTCACTCTCAACATTTTAACTTCTTATTATTAACTTTTTTATGGCTAGATTCCTCAAATTTATTTTTTAATGCAGTTGATTATTAGATTGTATATTACTTTCGTTGGCCAACCACATTTAAACAAAGAAATAGGAATGCTTTTCAAAAATAAACTTAATAGAAAATATTTGGTTTAAAGTTTGAATTTGCATGTATATATATATATATATATATATTTAAATATATATGTATATAAATTTATAAATACATATTTACATATATACATAGATAAATAAAAAATTCAACATAAGAATACAGTATTTACAAAAGCTATATAGAACAAATTCAAGCAATCAAATCCTTGAAATGAACTAAATATCAAAAACCACACAATTAACTATCAAAACAATAATAATCAAGTAAACAAGAACAAGTTCAAAACATTAAAAAAGCTTTAATTGTATTTTTATCTCAAGAGAATGAAATAATAAAATTGGCAATTGGTCTATTATTTTCTAAATTACACTTCAACCTAAATTTGTTTCTTCTTTTTTTTAAATATTGCATTCAATTTTTTTTTAATGGCAAGTATTTCTTTGTGACAAAAAAATGTTGCATATGAAAAATAGTAAATAATGTTATTTAAAAAAATAAAATCGTACACATAAAATAAAAGAATAATATAATTAGACAACTTTTTTTGAAATATTGTTATTATTTAAACAAATTATTTGAACTATTTTTAATATTGGAAATAACTGGACATATTTTAATAGTAAATTAGTTATATAATTAACATTTTATTTCAGGTTGTCCTACAGTAGGAGTAAAAGAAGATGTAGGTTTTAATGCGCGACTGCCTGTCGACTTTTCAAAAGGAAAAAATATAATTAATTTTACAGATGTTAGACTAAACTTTGGTGACCATTTTGAACCAAGCAAGGGCATATTCACTTCGCCTAGTGACGGGCTTTACCTGATATACCTATGTATTGGCAATTTATTTGGTAAAATTATGTTTATGCTTGTAAAGCAAGAAAATGGCAGTAAAAATTTTGATGTCATATTTCAAGATACTGTTGATAGTGACAAAAACGTGTGCCTAATCACTGTGGAAAAATTGAAAAAAAAAGAGCAATTAATTATGTGGAGCTCTTGTAAAAGTAACAATTCAGAGCTTAAAAAATATTCAAATTTTTCTTGTTTTAGAATCCTCTGAATTATCAACAGCATGTAAATTGATATTTGAATGACTGAAACTAACACTATTTTATTTAAAATGATAATAATATAGGAATTAAAATAACGATGGGAGTTATAAGATATCATGACAGTACTAAGGGAATTTTGCAACCCATTGTGTTTACATCAATCTTTATAGGAAATACAAATTGTTTAAGTATAAAAATAGTTAATTCCAATAAACTTCGGGTAACACTCCCTTCCCTTCGCATGCTAAAAAGAATGTGTTTTTTAATTATTTTAATTGTTTTGGTTTTGATATTTATTTGACTTGAACTCATGTAAGGACATTTAAAACACTTTTATATTCCCCTCGAGTGTCCTTATGGTCAATAAGCTCGTAGCATAATTGTTAGATGCTAAATAAGGAAAGTGTGTAGTTTTTACAACGTGAATAATGTGAACATAATAAAAAGTTCAGAAATACAAAATGTTAAATTACAACCAATTTCATTAAAAGCCAAATTAAATATGTTAATGTTTTCTTATTTCAAAATAAACGTTTTATAAAGAAGAGAAAGAAAACGTACTTTCTCTAAAGACATCTGCTTTCGAAAAAATATCAATTCACGTGGCACTACAGCCCGAATAGGAGTTTGGCATGATTCACTAATTCCTTTCATTCAGACGTTTTATACAACATAATTTGATTTCCGTCAGCTGTAGATTTGTTTCCATATTGTCTTTCCATAGGAGCCAAAGATTTACATGCGTAGCTACTTGCAGTGGGGATGTTGTACCCTTATCACCACTCTGTCATTTGGCATCATTTCTTACACATGATATGTCTTAGTTTTATTCTGATTCTATCGCGGGATCTTAGTATAATCAATCCAATTCTTAAATGAATCGTATTATCAAGCTATTGTTATCCTGATTGGGGTCATTTATTTGCTGAAGAATATTTTTCTCATATGCGTTTCATTTTTTTTTTTTATTTTTTTTTTTTTTTTTTTTTTTTTTTTTTTTTTTTTTTTTTTTTTTTTTTTTTTTTTTTTTTATTTTTGTTTTTTTTTAATATTTTTTTTTTTTTTTTTTTTTTTTTTTTTTTATTTTTTTTTTTTTTTTTTTTTAATTTAATAAATTTCTCTTCCTGTTCCTCTTTTAACAAAGTCACATTAATAATAATAATAATTTTAAAATTGCTTTTCCGAAGTTGCGAAGCTTTTCAGAAGTTACGAATTTATTGCCCATTTTTGTTTCGATGTCCTGTCTGATTCCATTAAAGCCCTTGCTATGTCTTTAGTTCTAACAGTGCTATGTTTTGGAGTATGCAAGGCACCGAAGTGGTTGGCTTTAAAGAATGCCTATTATTGTGTCTTCAGTTTACCTCAGAATGCAATCCTGTGATTTTTCCTCGGGTGTCAATATGTATGCTTTTTAAAACTTTTTTATTGTACCCTTAAATAGAAAGAAAATGAAGCGGGTCTTCTTTTCTAAGGTCTCGTCTAATTTTGAATGTCCTTAAATATACCATTTGATGCTTGTTATTTCGCTTTTCGAGTAGTTTAATATAACATATTGCCCGTTCCGTATGCCAATATCCTGTACATTGTCATAAAATATATATATATATATATATATATATATTATATATATGTATATAATTTCTTTTGTGAAGTTATAAGCATTTAATAGTTTAAGTATTGTTAGGGTACTCGGATATTTTAATAAGATCTATTCCGTCAGAATCTGTATTGGGTTCATGTACTATGTGATAACTGTACGGTTGTAGTCTCTTTGCTATTAACTTTGTCCATTGTAATTTGTGTATTGCATTTTAATTTTTTTGGAGTTTTTCTTCTCTTGTGTATTGTTTATAAACTGTTGTTAAATTGTATTCTGGAATTTCTCTTCTTGTCAGATTTTAGGTAAATGTTGATTTGTTTTTATTTATATTCCCCTTCCTCCTTGATTATTAAGCCATGCTGTGATGAGTTCATCTTCATGAACAATTGAGTTTTTTTATAGTGTTTATGATTTCTGTAGCTGCTTCAACAGTTGGGGAGTTAATTAAAATGTCTTGTCCTCTTGTGGTAGTTAACATTCCTATTTTCCTCATTATTTGTAGTCAGTCCTTCCTCTCATATAATGCATTCCTATCTAATATTTTCTATTTTTCGTAAGTTATAGTATCCCACTCGTTCTTTATATTTTTTGTCTCTGTTTATTTCATCATGCTATGCTTCTAGGTGTGCTTTTACTTTATTTTGGTTCGCTTTTGCGATTACTGTGTCTTTGATTAGAGCACTTTTGGGAATCATGTTGTTTTACTCATTTGTGTTTAGGCAATTTTGTATTATGCTTATTATCTACATATATTAGAATGTACAAATAATATTGTAATATTCTGCTTCTGCTCTCAAAAGCATCTTGCATTGTATATGTTCCATGCATACGACTTGATTATTATAGTCAATTGGATTGCATGTGATCCGACATGGTAAAAAGTAACTTGACGTATAATTCTTTTGTTAAACTTGGTGCTTCTTTCAAAGTCGAAACATATTATCATAGGACTTTTTGTAAATTCGTTTTGCCAATAGTCTGCATAAACCATTTTTAATACTAGAAATAATGACTCACTGTTATCGGACTAATAATAGTAAGTGCTTCTCGATAATTTTATCTGCTAATGCAGAAACTCATGACAATTCCTAAATTTAAAATGATATTCTCGTTTCTAAAATCATTAAGTTTTGAGAATTTTTATCTGCACTATGTTAAAGGCTTTTCCTACTCCTTTTCACGCCCCTTAATTACTTTTTCCCTCTAAACTGAAACTTAAATTACCTGATCAAAATGATCATTAATTATATCAGTTTTGTCACTACAAGAGTTAATTAAGGGACGATTTCTACTATGGAGAAATAATTTAAACGTATCAGTTTTCGTGCCGTTACACTATAACCTTTTTCTCTAAAAATTGTTAACACAATATTCTTTTATTTACAACAAAAACTCTATATCTAATATAAATATATATTAAATGAATCATTTATATAAACATCTTCATTGAAAGATTTAACACAAATTTACTTTATTACTTTTTTTTTCTTAAATTAAAGATTATTAACAAATACTAAATCAGAAAATTCTTTTATCACAAAAAGAATTTCGCAACCGTTTTTCAAACTCATAACAGACTTGAGTGTTTGTTTTTTTTTTTTTGTTTTTTTTTTTTAGATTTTTTAAAATGCATATCCTTTTTACTTTTCGCAAATTAAAAACAAATATATATTTACAATTTTTTTAAAGAAAATTTTATTTAATCTCCTTTTTT